AAGAAACCCCAAGATAGGGTTTGGAAGTGATACAACCTTGGCAAAAAGAACAAAATCAGCTCAGATAGCAGAAGAAATCAAATTATACAGGCTGAATGGATATATTTTTTCATATGCCCGATGCGCCTAAGTCGTGAAAAGGGATCTTTACTTTTCTTTACTATGTTTCCTAAAAGAAGTGGATTGATGACATTAAAGAGCTTCTACATGAAATGACAGTAGCCATTGCTGTCCATCAAGCAATGGATCACAAACTGTTTCTCCCAACAATGCTTAACGACAGAAGTGTAAACTGATGGTGATGATGATGATTGAGTGTCACAGGGATGTATCAAATAGATGCTTATCTCCTACCCAAAGGTTGTGGATTCAAATCCGCATGTCATTTTTTTCTTTCAAAAAAAAACCCCTTGGCGCCCAGGTCAGTCCAGCTTTGAATGGGCACAGAAAAAGACCTGGGAAGTAAAGGGGGCCAGCGTGATGCTGACCAGATCACCTACTGAGTGCTGATTAGTTTGAAAAATTTAGGTTTAGCAAAATTTTTTCGAAATTAGTCACCACTTCCCCCACCTCTCTGGCACAGATATGATCAGGGAAAAAAAAAAGGGGGTGGGGGGGGGGGGGGGGGGGGGGGGGGGAGAACATTTTGAATAACTGATCCTTCCCATTTAAATTATGCATAACAAATTAGATTTGTAGTGATTACTGTATTTTCAACAACAACAAAAAAACAACAACAGAAAAGAAATTATGCATTATTACCAATTAGGTTGAAAACCTTCTCATTAACATTGCCTAATATGTTATTCTTGGTTTTTGTTATAATAAAAGGCCTGTTGTGGTGCAGATTTTATTTCCGTCATCAGGTAAGGTTTAACACATCAAAACATAGCTCGCCAAAGCAAACTACAAACCATAATTTTAAGATTGCCTAGACACTTCTGATCAGAGAGAATAAATCTGGCCCACAGGATCAACCTTGGAAGATAAACTTTAGGGTATCATTGAAGATCTAAATCAGCATAAACATCTTTTATTAATGGAAAAGTAAATTTCATGTTTTTCATTCGATAAAAATAATTTTCTGTGTGTAGTGACTGATTTATAAAATATTTACAATTTCAAGTTTCAAGGTAGGATGCAAAAATACAGAAGAACCATTAGCAGTACACAAGGACCAGGTTACATACTGTTCAAGACCTGTCTACACATCTTCATGGCCACCCTAGAGACAGGTTTTCAAATAAAGGGCTGGGCAACATAGATAGGAATAATGTTTCTTTCAAAGTTGGAATGCATCTGTCTGAGAGGCAATGAACCAATGTACAGTCCGTTTACAGATAAGCCAGATCAGTAAAAGGAATGTGCATGCAGCACTTAAGTCCTGGAACAAGACCACAGTCCAGAAGTGGACGAGAACCACAATTTTCCACCAGAGTTTACATACAGCTGGTGAACACAAAGAAGAAGAAGTTTCCAGTTGTCGTATTTACAGTATATTTTTTACTTTGCTTTGTGTCACAACTATAGGAGAGCCCCAGATAGGGTAGAGTTCCTATGAGCGGAGCAACTATGGGGTGACCCGTTTGCTATGAAGCTGAAACTAGGATTACCAGATTACCAGAGCTCCTATACGGGAAATAATCTTCAGCCCAAGTATGGCTAAATAGAAGTAGGGCTACACTGTCTACTAGGGTAGTCCAGGTAGGCAGAGAGACTGATATCTTACTCCTGGGACAGAGGACAAGAAGATAAGTCTACCCAGCTCCAATGGTCTGGTGCTAGGGCAAGCTAGATATCTTGGTGGCAACTCCTCTGCCACTGTGTTAAAGAAAGAGCACCCAGAGAGAATGCAGAATGCTCCTTTCTCGCTCACTCAACTTTTACTCTCACTCACGTGTAAGTATGCACAGACGAGAATGGTAGTTTGAATGAAGAATACTTTGAAAAGCTTTAATGCTAATTTATAATACACAACTAACTAGCCAAAAATTGATGGTGTTTTAGTGTAATTGAAGCCACAATGGGTATCATCATGAGGGAACAAAAGAAATATCTACTAGGTCCAGTTCCTTTCCCGCACAAGTACAGCTCACCCGTGGAGATTCCCAGAGGGTTGACGTGGTGAGGAAACTGGAACACGTGGCTTCTGTAGCGGTAATTTCTGGTGATCCTCTCTTCTGCAGTTGATTGTCCAATGCTGCTCATAGGAGTTTTCAGTGTGGTAATCCAAATGGTTTTAGACCACTGTAATGGTAGTGACTAGAGTTCATATATGACGCGTGGTCATTTAACAAATGACACGTGGTTGTTTAAAAAGTTTTAACCAAGTTCCTTAAATTGTCTATTTGTCTGTGCCCGTTTTATTGCGACAGGACAATGTGTACGATTTGTGTTCCAATCGTTGTCTGGCGTTGGTAGTAGGAAAATGCCGCAGGGCTGGTAGAAGTTAGAAAAAGCCCTCATAAGCGTGTGCTAAATGGAACACGTTTCCTGAATTTGCTTCAGAGTTAATCAACTGAATTAAATATTAAATCTAATTCAGCATTGGTGGTTATGGTTTTCATATTACACCGCATTTAAAAATGAGCTCTGTTACTAAACTTAGAGGTCAGGTTGAACACACGTGGCAATATATTTTTATATATATATCGGTCACCTCTTGGACTCCAGCCAGCAAAATCAAAAATAACAATTCTTACTATAATATATTAATAGAGAACATAGTACAGAAGTTGTACAATTCGAAGAAGAGTGCCGACTCACCCCTCAGATCTGTCAAGAATCACTAAAGTATTCCAGTACGAAGTATGGAAATAAATTTGCTTCAGTTGAAATATCTTCTTTTGAGACTGACCGATCAATCTACCTTCTACGCCTCTGCAAATCAAATGGCTGAAACAATGACAATGGACGACACATGAGCACAGCCCTGCGCATGCGCCAAGAAGAGGGTGCTACCTGTCCTGTTCTATCATTGGTCGAAAAGAGTAGTCTCGCTGTATTGTGACTGGTCGCTAAAATGGTGACCCCTATTACGCAAACTAGTTTAATCAGGTTTCTCCCGTGAGGTTAGGGAGGTTAGCTGGCTGCTGAGCGACCCGAAAATATCGATTTAGGCGCTAGCAACAAACTCGTTTTTACTGGGTTAGACTACTGTTCTTGATTTTCTGTTTAGAATGGTTAAATTCCGCCCTAAACTATCATATGTATACAGGTAAACTAGGGGAGTGCCAGTGGCCATCGCCAGTACTGTCACACTTTGGTTAGTGATTAGTGAGAACAGATTCACCTATACAGATGGTTCGGTGTTGCAAAGGAAGAGAAGTGCCTAGGGGTTTGTAGTTAAAGCCAATGGAAAAACTTTAGTGCAAGACAACCTAGCATTTGACAACACAATATCTAGCATGAGAATGGAGGTGGAGGCGGTAACTGCAGCTGTCCGGTGGCTAGAGAACAAGATGCATACACATGTCACAATTGTAACAGACTGAAAGCATGCTCAGAAAGGTGAAGACAGGGGTGCTTCGAGCAGAGTGGCAAGCTTCACTGGGAAGGTCACAGGTAGTGAGCGTACTTTGGATCTTTTCTCCAGGCGATGCCGGCGTGGTAGGTAATGAACAGGCAGACAGATTGGCTGGATCTGCTCCACTGGGTGAACTGATACATGACCAGACAGATGTGGTCAAGGCTTTTTGGGAACAAGCAATGGAATCAGTAGAAAAACAAGATTATTATGACCTGGATGGAGAGAATGAGGCACTTGGGTGTAACCAGAAGGACTGGCCGGCTCACTACACTTATAGGAAAGGCAAGATGGACATATAACCAGATTGTGACCGGTACCATCGGTATTGGAACTCTGTGCTGGCTGCGGAGCACAGATGGGAATGCCCCAAGTGCTGTGATGTCAATTCTTGACTCAACTGAACTCAACAGATCAAATGGTGCTCCATTGATATCTAAAAGGGTACCACATGCATAAAATGACGGATCACACTCGTTCTGTGTTAAATGAAGTCAAATGCTGTGTGCTCTTAGATAAATTCTTTGTCTGGTAATTCTAGATTCCCTATATCCACTAACACGGTTATGGAAAGATACCTGTAACCATAATTGTCTTTGTGATATACAGTTTGCATGACATTGATGACATAGTTCCTGACTAGAGCAGTCAAAATAGCCACATTTTGGGAAAGATAAACTCCTTGTTTTGTCTTATGGCATGATTGTATCTTTCTGTTTATTTGATTACATAAGGTATATTTTAAGGAAGTGAACAGACTCGAGAATTTTGTGTCACATGTAAAAAATGATGGATAGAGATAAGGCAAAGGCAAAAACTTTAATGCCTCGATGATTTGGCTACATGCAAACGATGGGACAAGAGCGCTGACCTGATCAGTGATACTGTTGATTATGTACAGTGGCAAATCATTAAAGCTATCTATGTAGGTCACACAGGATAATTATAATATTTCCAGTGTTGGAAAAGGTGGGGGGGGGGGGGGGGGAGTGCCCCTGAGTGAATGTTTGATTGAAAAGAGGCTGGTTGGAAAACAAAATTTGCAAACCTATGGTCTAGCACTGTACACCTGATACACCCAAGGAAAAAGGTCCTTTACTTTTACTTTACCATTATTGTCATTTGCCTCCATTTATGATGATAATGATTATTGTAACTGTTATTATTACTACTATTCCTATTTTCGTTCCTTTATTTATGTTTTATTTTGCAAAACATTTCTTCCTCTTCATCTCTTCTATTCCATTATAGTTATTCAGATATGTTGGGATTGGTGTCTAAGATTTTTTCTTCTTCTTGCGATACTCATCGATAAAAGTTTTGCCTGAAATGTTTGATTGTTCCTCTGTATGTGTTTTTCCCCCTTCCTCCTCATTGAGCTTCCTACTCATTTTGTGTTCACTGAATTCATCTGCTTTGAATTGTATCCATTTTTACTAAATGTTTTTTTAAATTTTATGTGTTCTGTTTTCAGGCAGCTCATGAGGAGGAGATCAATCAAATAAAAGCAAGTTTTTCTGAGCAAATAAATAAGCAGCTTGTGCGCATTCAGGATTTAGAAAATGAACTCAAGCAATATAAAATGTTTGATAAAGTAGAGACTGCAAGTAAGGTATGTTAGACTTAATGTAAGTTTTGTGTGTGTGTTCTTGCATGATATCAGCCAGCTTAAATCTGTTTTGTGTAGCAAGTATAACAAGAGAGAAAAATGTTTTGAGGATAAATTAAGTTGCACATGATAGATCATATTCTGTATAGTATCATCAAGTATTGGGTAACACCTATGTGTTGATGCACATGCTTGTATGATTATGCATGTTCATTAATGTCTATTCACTTTGTCGTTAAGTACATGGTCACTGCTGTTAAGTGAATGTGCATTCATGGAGTTTAGTATAGAAATACTGAGTATCAGGAATTTGCTTGGGATGACCAAAATTACACAAGACAGCATAAAAATTATTTCCTGACATTTATAATCATCATAATCACCATCTGCCCGCTAATAAGCACAAGCTGTCATGTTTTTCCATCTCACACAATCAGCAAAATCAGGAATCAGGTCAGTGTTCTTGTCTCATCCTATCCAGATGGCTAAGCAATGCAGGTATTTATCACTTTGCTTTTCCCTTGCTCTCTTTCTGTCAGTCTTGCTAGTCGTTAACAGCTTCTTGAATCCATTCCTTCAAATAACAACTCTGAAAAACACTGACTTCATCTGCATTCTTTAGCCAGTTTATCGTTTCTTCTGTCTCAAAGAGGACTGTCTTATTTGTTTTTCTATAATTCCATTATATTCTTTGTATTCCTATTAAAAAAAACTGCAAATTGTCTGCAAGGCAATATTTGACAGCGTGTCTGTGTATCACATGACTATTAACAACATGGGTTCTATGTAGCATTTTAAAATTTTGGTTTTTTTCCTCTTTGCAATTGACATCTTTTTATTCGTGAGTATCTTTTGTATAGTCATCAGTTGTGTGTGTGTGTGTGTATATATATATATGTGTGTGTGTGTGTTTGTGTTTGCACATATATGTTGCACCAGACAAGAGTGTGTGCGTATATAGATCTCATTGTTATATTGCTAGAGGGTGCAGATCGTTAGGCAATGAATTAATGCCTTAATGAATCAAGACTTGATGTCACTGCACTGCGAACATTACATTATGTGCTGTATTCTCTTTCTCAGTTCTAATAACCAGTTCCCATATTGATGGTGCCAGTTGTAAACAGATTGAAATTTTTTTTTTAATGCAGTTAGAAACCAAGGACTCGAAATATAGATAAACAGAACAGTAAGATGTATTTCATGAAAACCAAGGCACATACTAACAGCCTAGAGTGGCGGCTCTTGTCGGCTTAGTGTACTGTAACCTGCCAGTAGCTGCAAATTTACCTCAATATTTATATCATGAGTACTGTGAAGGACTGCATATACTGAAATCAGAAGAGGAAGTTGCTGTAAACCACATGAAAAATTGTAGATCTCCAGGGACAGATAACGTCACGATTGAAGAATTAAAAGCTGCTGGTAAACTAGTATTAGAAGTTCTGACATAATTGTTCAGTGATATTTATAGCAGTTGACACTTACTAATGACCTTTTGAAATCTCTTTTCATACCTTTACCTCATAGCATCGAGAATCATCTGTGTCCCAGTTGATTGAAAGTTCACCAGACAGAAGGTTATGGTTAGACATGACTACTTTACGAAGAAGATTTACAGTATTAATCCACGAGCACTGGTTAGATGCAAATGCTGATAAAGGAGCTGTAACTGCTAGAGCTGCTTGAGTGAATGCACTTGGGATATGTGTGTCTGGGTATCCAGGGGCATGACTGAGTGACTGCACTTGGAATATGTGTGTCTGGGTATCCAGGGGCATGTCTGAGTGAACCAGGGGGAAGGAATCTTGTCAGGTATGTGGGCTGCTGGGCTGGGGGGATGTGGGTGGTTGTTGTGAGTTTGTGAGACCAGTAGTAAAGGGGGGTGGGGGGGGGGGGGGGGGGGGGGGGGGGGGGGGGGGGGGGGGGGAAGGCTACATACATAATGGCTTTTGTTTTTTTTAGATATTTAATTGCACATTCTCTGTATTAGACAACCCCTAATTTTAAACTTAGAAATTTTAGGAAAGCATTGCCTTTTACACAGAAAAACACGGTATAATTAAAAAATAAATTATTTGATGCTCACTTTTCTGATGAGCAGTGACATTGATTTTGTCAGTTGTGTTGTCATCTTGTATATTTTATTGCTTGCAGGATGATATAAAGGTTGCAGGTGATGCATATTTCAAGTTAGGTTTGCATAATGATTCAGCCAGCTTGGAAGCTGTAACAAAAAAGCCTAATCAAGATCACAACCATCAAATTGCATCATATCAAGTTTCAGAAACTGGAAAAGTGTTCACATCATCCTCTGGAAGTTCACATATTTATGACAAACCTGATGTTCTTCTGACATCCTGCCCCTTTCCTTCACCTACCTCCACAGCTCCTCAGTCATCTTTACAACCAAATATTTGTGATAACATTGCTCTAGCATCATTTGTTCCATGTCAGTTAGAAGGAGTCAAACCTCCTCCTCCTCCTCCTCCACCTCCACCTCCGCCTTTCCCACATACCATCCCTGTGTATCCACCACCTCTACCAGGCCCACCAGAAGCAATACTCCAGTCAAGTCAAGCAGGCCCACCGCCTCCACCACCACCAGGGGTTTCAGGTTTACTGCATAAACAAGGTGAGCATATAAGTATAGTTGTAAATAAATAATAGAATCAGTTCACTTAAAGAATCTCAGTATTAAAAATTATTAGGCTTATTGGGTACTGAGTACATTTTGTAATCATCAAAATCGACTATCATCCTTGAGCAGGCCCACAGGTGCTCAGTTTATCTACACTGTCCCTTTATTTTGCAACATAATTTCCACCAACATTGATGCACTTGTCTCATCATCTTATCAGTCCTCCCAAACCTGCTGCATGGAACTGTGCGCTGTGTTTTCTAAACCACATTTTAACTTCACATTCAACTTCTGCCTCATTCAGGAAATGTCTCTGGCCAAGGTGGGTTTTCAGTGGACCAAAAATTTAAATCAGTGATGCATTATGTTGAATGCTGAACCATGGAAACACCCTATTGCAGCTGCTACAGAGTCAGGCTTTTTTCACCTGTCACCTCTAATCATTTCCTCCTCCAGCTGCACAGATACGTCTATTGCAATCTCAAGACGATGGCCGGATTAGACTTCAACAATTTTAGATTGTCCAAGACAATTTTTTTTTTAACCTAGCTGTGCCTCGCTTTACAGGATAAACATTTGTCAGCATAAACAGGAAGTTTTTTCTTATGAATGTCTATTGCAGGCAACCCTGTCCCCCCCCCCACCCCCAAAAAAAAACCCCACAACTATAGCACGTTGTTCTTTGTAGGTACACTCCGTGAGCACAGTCGTCATTTTGTTTCTGTGTATGTGAATGCACATGCAATAACTAGCGCCATCTAATGAACAGAGACATAATGTTCGATGTTGCTGTCATCTAATGACACCTTTAGAAACCACCAACTATATTTTCCTGCAACCCATACCATTTATGACTTACTTATTGACTTCTCAGTGTATATCTACAATTAAAAATCTAATTAATACGATAACACTAGAATTTATACATTAAGAACACATTCTGACCGAAACATATCTCCATATTGTCTGTTTCCCTTGGGGAATCTATTATCCTCTTATTAATCACATTTTGTAATGTTGCGGGGGAAAATGGGGAGCAGGGGCGGAGTCTTGCCATACATTCATGTGTGGAGGGCATGGAGGTCTTGCCATTTACTCAAGGGGGGGGGGGGGGGGGGGGTGTGACCTGTGCAACAATGCACACAGGTGTCCGATCTCACTACCCAGAGGCCAGGGGGAATTACTAGAAGTCCAAGTCCACGCAAAAAAACGTCCATCTCTTACTGGCAATTGAACCCAGAACCTCTAGCACTCAAGGCGGATGCCATGCCTCAAGACCATGCAGCCCCATAAAAATATTACTGTTATTTGCATTAGTATCTTAACTCTGTATTTAAATGCCCTTTCACATAATGGGTTGACTAATTTATCTACTTGTGACTTGAGAATGTTCAAAATAATAATTCACTTCAAAAATATGTTTAAAATAATAAGTCACTTCAAAAATATTTTTTATTATATTTCATTGCAGGGCTACATACAATCATACTTCTTTTATTCATTAACAAAGAGCAGTAAATTATTAAGGTTAAAATTGTATCTTTTATCTTCTCCAACTTTTCCCTAGAATCCTCAAAACCAATTATGAACCCAAAGTCACCAATGAAGCCACTGTTCTGGAAGAGGATACAGGTTCAGTCAGTTGCACCAGACAAGAGGTAAAGTTGAATGTTGAATTAAGAATCGACATCACAGCCCTCTTGACATTTGCTTAAGCGCTCCGTCTCCATCTTCAGCAGCAAGAGAAGAGTTCCAGTTCGGATGGCATCAGTAACTGTTTTGATTGTATATCTGTCTCGCCCTTCCCCTGAGTGTTGAGAGTCAGCCATATTCCCTGATAACTTATTGCAGGGCATTCTTCTCAGACCGTAATGATCCATCTGTGCCTCTGCACTGTTTACTTGCTCCCAAAGGGCCCTCACAACATCTAGCTAGTCATATATGAGTTCACCACCAAGTGGTACAGAATTGGCCAGTCTTATCTGCCTGTTTGTTTCCCAACACACCGGTATAACCTGGAGAAAGGACGTTAACTGCTAGGGACCTCTAAAGCGATCCTTGCAACTCTGATCGGACCATGCCTGTCTCCACCTTTCTCAGCATGCTCTGTGAGTCAGTTACAATTACGACATGTGGGCAGCGGTGACTGCCTCCACCTTCATTCTCAGACTAGACATGATATCATATGCCAGGCTTTGCTGCATTACGCAATGTCAATTCACTTTCGCTATGAATCCCCATGCACTTCATCTGCCTCTCAACACGAGCCATCTGTATAGATAGATAATCACATCACCTGGGTGGGAATTATCATTTTTTGAACTTCTGATTCTGCAGCGCCAGCTAACCAGTCCCTATACTCAGTCCCTACAGTCTTTGCGCCATCCAAGACCTTCCTCTTTTCAGTCTGTGAACCTTAGCTCTACCTAGGGTTCAATTTCCAAACAAATTCCAAAATTATGATAAGTTTCTGGGTTCGTTTAGCTTTCAGGGGCTTTTAGTTCTCACAGAGTGCTGAGTAAAATTTCAGAGAAAAAATAGCAGAAAATATTCACTATTTACTTTGTACAGTTATATACAGATTGTACTTTGTACAGTTATATACAGATTGTAACTGTGATTATTTTAATATAGCTTAGCCATAGTATAGTACAATCTCTTTGTTTAAAGCACTTTTCTTCTCTTACACCATAAATACAGTAGCAATGGGACATTGTCTGTGTAATAAACTCATCAGAATTGCTAGATACCAAACAGATGATCCCTCAGCTTTGCTGGTAAAAATTCACCGTCTGAATCACTTTCAAAAAAATGTATATTTTCATTATCATTATCAGAATTAAAATCATCTGACTGAAACAATTTCAGAGCTTCGGCCTGCTGAAAGATGCATTCTGCGACCTGTACTTGTGGTGGGAACATTGGTATTCATAGCACTCGAAAACGAACTTAAAAAATGCACTGCTTAAAAAAATTTGCCGTGAATCTGATCAAATGATACACGTGTGGCTTCTGATAGGGAATGTAGCTGAAAGAATTTCGACAGAGTGACTTTCCTTGAAAAATCTACACAATTGACGATTACAGCGTTGTTAATAGTGAATTGGGGGCAAATGATACCAATGTGAGAATATTGTATGCATTAGTCATTTTCAAGACATGAATGGTCACTACTGTAGAAAGTGGCGCATAAGCACAACAGTATACAAAATGACGACATACACAAAAATTCAGTTCGAGCAATGAGCTGTCATTGAATTCTTGACAGCCAAAGGTTGTGTACCCATCAACATGCATCAAGGAATCAGAGCGGTATATGATGATGTCTTTGTGGATATCAGTACTGCTGGGAGGTGGGCAAGGACTGTCAAAGGCAACAATGCAGCCTTGACTCTCCTGCATGAATAGACTAGCAGTGGACGACTGATCACAGCTGTGGATGAACAACACCAAGCTCACGTCGATAAACTGATTCATGACAGTCGCCACATCAGGCAAAAAGATGTCTCCACTATGTTTGCTATTGACCGAGTACATCACAATGTTCATGTCATGTTTGAGTATAGCAAAATTTATGCAATATGGGTTCCTCACATGTTGACATCGGAAATGAAACAGCACAGGAACACTTGATGAATGGGAAGGTGATGCTTTTATCTTCCGAATTGTCACTGGCCATGGGTCATTATGACTCTGTTTTACAAACGACAGCCTATAGATTATATAGACATAAGAACCCACTTATCCCAAAAAAGTTCAAGGTTGCTACATCGACGAGAAAGGTTTTGACAACCATTTTTGGAGGCTACCAGGGCACAATCAAAACATAATTTTCAAAGCACAGCAGTAATGTTGACTCTGATCACTTTGTGGTAACTCTGTAGAAACTACAAGCAAGATTGCCCTGGTTCATCCTGGCAGACACATAATTCTTGAACATAACAATGCTCGCCCACACACAAAAAACAACAGCAGCAATAGAGTCTCATCTTTAAAGACATTTTGGTGCATCTAGCATATAATCCTTGTTTCGCACCTTCTTACTTTTCCTGTTCCCAAGGCTCAAGGAATCTCAAGATTTACTTCTGACGTGTGTTCCTGGCTTTGTGAAAAAATAGTCAAATTTTTGTTCTGACAGGATGTGACATTGTTCAGCAATGGTGTGTGCTTGTGGAATGTGGTGATAACTACTTTGAAAAATAATAACACCTTAATTAAAGGACTATTCAAGCTTTATGAAAATATCTGTTTCATATATACATTATGTATATTAACTAAGTTATGTTCTTTGAAGCATTACTTTTCAAACTGCCCTCATGTGTACACTAATGACCTATTATGATTATAGCTTTGCCAAGGAAACCGGACACCTAAGACTGTAAAGAAAGAATAAGTCCTATGAGTCGAGCAAAAAAGATATAACTAAGAATAATTTTAAGAAATATAAGAAGCAGGGTTTAACTAGAAATAAATGAACAAAATGGATTTTGGGGAGAAGAGGTACAAACAGTACCTTTTACATCCTCAGAACACTGTCACAAATAGCTATTGAAAAATATATATAAATTATGCGTTATAGACACTGCTAAAGCATTTTATTATAATAAACACACAAAAGTTGACTATTAGAAAAACTACACATTGGTGACAAAAATCTGCAAAAAATAAGGAACGTGTTTGGGAGCAAAAGCAGCTGTCAGAATTAACAGCTGTTTTGTAATTTTTCAGAGCATAGAGAGGGTATGGGTGACAAAGGTGTTGTAGAATGCGATTGAGGGATGTACCACACACTTGCCAAGTATCTAGGGGATATTTTATAAATGTCAGTCTTCCACACAAACACACAGGATTTCCTCAGTATCTTTTAGCTGACTAACCATGGCTGCCAATTTTCCATAGCAGGGCACATGCTGATGTGTTTATAACTAGAGTAAAGGAAGGCCAACTCAAACAGGAACACCACTATAACAAGTGCCAAGCACACCTAACAAGTTAATAACCACAATAAATCTGGCAAAGGTTGCATGTCCTCTCCTAATCACTAATGTGGTCTAAGAATGCTGTGATAAACTAACTACACCAAGTATAATCTTATACTGCAGTCAGTCTCTTTATTATGGATGAACACATTGTGACGAAGATGAACTGGTGGTGATCAATAAATCACTGTCTTTCTGCCACCTGCCAAATTCACTAATATTGCAGTGTCTCCAGAACATGGACAAAACACCCTGGCAAACTATTTAAGGTGCTGCTACGGACGACCCACTATGCTATCGTGCAGATATACCTAGGTGATGTGCAGTGACAGTCCTATGACAGTTCCCTGTCCAAGAGACCCTACCATCAGAGTACCTGAGGTAGATGCACCACTTGGTAAAAAGAACTGAGACTCCCACCTGCTACCTAGTCACTCATTAAAGTGGCACTAATCAACCTCCAGTTAACCATTGCAATCCATATCAACTAAGGGACTCTGACTATCGACTATCAGCTTACTAATACCTCCTCATCACAACTCCATGCTGGTCAACACACAGAGCCTCACATCGCCTTCTGTAGGACTTAAAGACACCCCGTCAACCTTTGTGATGCATAGCCACAATTGTGCAGACCCCCCAACACACATGGGCCTCACAGGCATCCCTTCTGTAAATCACACCGACAGAATTCATCAGTCCAACTCATGATTAATTCACATTAATTGGATAGAGACCTAGCTCAAACAGAATAAAACATATTATTAAAACTGGCACACATCCATGCATCTATAGGACTTGAGCAGTTTGCTCATAAGTCCACACACTTAAACTGACTGAAAAGCGACCACCATGGGAATTTTCTCACCTGCAGTCAGTTCGGTATGAATCTCACTCTCTTGCAAAAACCCAGGGTGCACAACCCACCCAAGCTGTCGACCCACACGGATCTAACAATATCCATGATGGACTGTGATGTCTAGAAGCCCGTCATGAACTTCAGGTGACTCATGTTTCCCCATCTTCTTCCAGTGGCTCCAGACGTTTTCATTCACCACCTGTCAACACAACATGAAAATCCATGTGTATCCATGCTTCACAAGCCCTGGCTTCATTAACTCTTTACATACCGCAGCGACCTTCGCATACAACAGATGTGTATAATGAGATCAATAAAAGATTTCTGGGGTTCATTCTTGTTGGTCAAAATATAAATAATTATTTATTATAATCTGTATTATGCCAATGATACCATCTTGATAGTGACAAATCAGAACCGGCTACTTAAATTGATTCATACGGTGGTTGTAGAAAATGAAAGCGTGAGCCTCTGCTTGAATTTTGAGAAGGTATTCATATAATCCACACACAACAAATTGCCTAAATGTGCAGTTAAAGTCAGTGACATTCTCTTTGGACTAATACAGAAGTTTAAGTATCTAGGCACATGGATTACATTAGATGGAAGATATATTATGAAATAAGGAACAGAATAAAAAATAAAAAAATGTAAAGAACATCTTACGAAATAAATTCTTGAATGTTGAATAGAGCCCATTTTTACTATAGATATAACTTCTGGATAGTTTTTCTTGAGACCGAAACGTGGTTTTACAAAGGAATGCCTAAATTCTTTAAATACCCAGAATGAGTACTCCATATGTTTTAAAAGAGGCAGGGGCCTAAAAACATTATCACAGACATCAGACAGCCATCATTTTGTGTCATTTTGCTATGAGTTAAGTTGAGTCAAGAATTGACATCACAGCACACAGGGCATTCCCATGCATGCTCCGTCCTCAGCCAGCGCAGAGTTCCAGAACTGATGGCACCAGTGACAATCTGGTTAAAAGTTCATTTTGCCTTTCTTCTGAGTGTAGTGAGCCGGCCAGACCCTCTGGTTACACCTAGGCGCCTCATTCCCTCCAGGTTTTAATAATCTTCTTTACTGATTCCATTGCTTGTTCCCAAAGGGCCTTGACCACATCTGCCTTGTCATGTATCAATTCACCACCCAGTGGTGCGGATCCAGCCAATCTGTATGCCTGTTCATTACCCACCACGCCGGCATGGTCTGGAGAAAAGTATGCTGACCACCCATGAACTTTCCAATGAAGCTAACCACTCCCTGTCTTCACCTTTTTCAGTATGCTTTCAGTCTGTTACAATTACATCATGTGTATGCATCTTGTTCTCTTGCTACCAGAGAGCTGCAGTTACCACCTCCACCTCCATTCTCATGCTAGATGTTGTGGTGTCATATGCTAGGCTGTCTTGCACTAAAGATTTTCTATTGGCTTTCGATACGAACCCCACCGGCACTTCTCTTTCCTCTCAACACTGAACCATCTGTATAGATAATCAGATCACCTGGGCATGAATTGTCGTGAATCAACTGTTTGACTTCAACCTCTGTAGCACCCACTGGCCAGTCTCTGTACACCTGGCCCAATGTTATCATAACCCTACATGGGTCAGACTTTCCTGCTGGTACTTTGACCCACTCCTCTCCTCGCCCAATGTTCTCCAGCATGTCATGCTATGAGATTAAAGAAATAGGAACAAAAGTTTATCACTATGTCACATTGTTTGTTTATCGCAACTGTAATTTTTTAAAGCTGATCTATGCTTTATGTTTTGCAAAATTTTACTTTTTCAGAAGTGGTGGTAAACATATTTTCTGGGAAGATATTTCAGAAGAGCCGATTAATTTTCAGTACTTTGAAGAACTCTTTGCCAAGACTCCTATAGAACCCAAGAAGAAAGTCACTGGATATAAAGTGAAATCAAAAACCATGCAGGTATCTGACATTTTCTGTTTAAAAAGATAGCAGTTCAGGTCTGCATGTTTTAGAAGTGTTATTTATAAAACTAAAATACCCTTTGTTGTAGCATACTTTAAAATTTTTTTCAAAATAGTAACTAGATTGCAGAGAAGAACTTACACTGAAAATTAATATGTGGAATTTTGGAATGCTATGATATACCTATGAAAGTAATAAATATTATTAAGGTAGTATATTTTGTTTAAAAAATTGGTTTTAAAATCCAGGTAATTGTTTAAGATTCTTAAACGTTGAAAAGGTTAGGGATGTTTTTGATGCTGTTGTTCTATATTCTGGATGGTCTTCCCTTTGCTCTGTGTTGATTATATTATATGGCTAACTGTGGCAGTTTGTACCAGGGCATTTTTGCCAGATGCCCAGGTCATTCCATCTGTTGCTGTTAAACAAATATATGATTGGTTTAAGTCTTGTCTCCTTTTTCTAATTTCTTCAATTTTTGTATATCTCTTCTTTTTACTCTTCTAAGACATCTCATCTTTGCTGTTATGATTTTGCACTCATTAGTTTTAGTAAGGGTCCATGTTTGAAACTGGTAGGCTGACTGACTCTCTACCCCATCAGGACATCACACAAGCGATAAACACCCGATGACACAAAGTGCCACCATGTGGATGAGGATCGCCGTGGAGAGGTCCCAGCAACCGCGTTCAGACAATTGGCCATATTTATCGCCTGCCTATATTGCGGCCCCTTGAAAAACCCAGGGTGGGGTTTCAAAAGACAAAAAAATTCATCCTTTTTCACTGGTTCAGAGTCAGAAAGTTAAGGGCAGTGCTTAACAAGGCTAGCCCTGTCATGTATCTGGGAACATGACTTTCCATTCATCAAGGTTCTTCTGAACCAGAAGGATCGAATAAAGCTGGCAAATAAATAGTTCCTAATAGATTAGCCATGGTATACAAAGTTACTTCTTCTTCTTTGTTGATTTGAGTGATGTAAATGTGTTATGCCTGTTTACAGCATAGCTTATATATTTGCTCCTTTAGACAAAGACATCAAACTTCTTTGGGCATGTATTATCTTGATTAGCTTTCCTGGTGAGTTTCTTGTTACAGCCTTATATGTGTGGTGACTTTGTTATCCCCTGATCAACAGATGTTGTTCTTGGCAGCCATGTACAGCTTGGTCAACCCTCAAGGAAGGCAGGGTGAGCGCATCGACATTCCCTGCCATCCAAGGAGGTTTTTATAAATGCAGAGCCAGTACATGGCTCTTTACTTTAGGTTATCACCAGTTGACAAGTGCCATATGATTTCTGGGCAGTGTATCTCTGGGAGCCAACTCTGAGATATCCTGTCAGCTCAGTTTAGGCCAATATGTTGTTGTTATCGATCCAGTGGCGTATGAGCTTTCGCACTTTGGCCCAATGCCATGTAGTGGAATTTGCATGTTTTCACAAGTTGTTCTTTTCCTCCGTACAAGGTGTTCCAATTGTCTAGTCTTGGAGGGAGTAGCATTCTTCTAGTCTCGCTGAGTTTGGGGCACTCAAAGAGATGGTGTTCAACAGTTTCGTAGGGGTAGTTAAATAGCTGGCACTATGGGGAGTGTTGTGGCTGTATTTTGTTTAGATGTCCATTGAGTGGAGTATGTTGCGTTCTAAGTCTGTTAGATGGTTAAATGCTGTCATTAGGATCAGGGCCAGCCATGTGTCTATAAACCTCTCTTCCAGTGTCTCCCATGGCCCATCTGTTCAACCAAGTCTCTTTGTTTATAGCTCTTATCAGTGTTTTTGCTGTCTGTAGGCTTGTCGCTGTAGGTGGTTGTTCTTGTGTTGCTCCTTTCTATGCCAGACTGTCAGCTCTGTCATTACCTGGTGTGCCGGAGTGGCCTGGAATCCACTGCATCACTATTTTGATGTTGTATGAGGTAATGAGCTGATCAGCACCCAGAATTATCTTGCCTATGTCAGTTCTGCAGCGTCCACTGCCTTCAAGGGCTTGAAGAGCAGACATTGAATCTGTGAAGATGACAATATTTTGGGCCTTTGAAGGGTAAACATCCATTAGTCTTTAGGTGGTATACTGCTGTTTCCAGTGCAATTATTTTGGCTTCATAATTTGAACAGAATTCCCCGCATGCATCAAAAATCTCTTCAACAGATCCATCGGGATAACCTATGTAGATTCCGTAACCTGCTTTAATAGTAGCTTTAAATGCAGATCCATCAGTATATACATGTATCCATTCTTGGGGGTAAGAATCAGTGGTCTTTAGTGATGAGTTCATAAGAGCGATTGGGTCGGACTGTTTGGTTTCCTCGCCTACCAATTTAATTCAGACTTCTGGAGCTTTAAAGCGAGCATGTGGTGGTAGGTTTCTTGCAACATTCTGAATTCCTTGACGTCTTTCTGAGAGGTGGTATCTGTCCTGAATTTCATTAACACAGTGTAAAACCGATTTGTGCTTTATTCTTTGTTTGTATTCCCAGTTTTCTACAAGGTATCTATTAGGATGGTTACGATACTTTCTAACGCATCTTTCATAAATTTCTAACTTGGCTTTTTCTCTCCACAACCCGAGGGGTTCCACATTTGTATGGATTTCACATGCAGCAGTTGGTGTAGACTGCATAGCTCCGCAGATTAATTGGAGGGCATTATTTTGTACTCCAAGAGTCTCTAGGTTAGTTTTGGAGCAGGTTGGAAGCAGTGAGTTGTTGTACTCTATCACAGAGTGAACATATCCTAGATATAAGCCCCTCAGAGTTTCCTTGTCTAACCCCCATGATGTACCTGCAAGTCTCTTTAATAACTAACCGCCTCAATGCCTTATTCCTTACTTTTTCAATATGATTCTTGAGGCTGAGTTGCTGGTCAAGTGTAACTCCAAGGTATGTAGGATGCTCTTCTTTCATCACTTGTGTTTGTCTAACTTCAGGTTAATATTCTTCCTTGCTACTTGATGGCTTTTGGTAAAGACTGTGTAGACCGTCTTTGCACAGTTAAACTTGAATTTCCATCTTTGGCAGTACTCATGCAGTCTTCTAAGGTCTCCATTTAGTCTTTGGGCTCCACTTTCCACATTTTCACGACTGTGCCATATTGCTAGGTCATCAGCGTACAAGGCTTTTTCAGCCTTGATTTGTTGTGGCCGGTCATTGAAAAAGATTAGGAACAGTGTACAGCTCGATGATGAGCCTTGTGGCAAGCCCTCCTCCAAGGCTTATTTAGAAGAGTTTGCGTTGTTAATGCCAATAAAGAATAGATCATTATCTGTAGCTCATGACTAGGACATGTGGCAGGACTCCTGCATGCGGATCCTTAAATCATGCACAGCCTGCTGGTGCATGAATGAAGGTAAGAAGTATCTTCTTATACATATCAGAATGGAGTTAACAAAATCACCACACCATCTATACAAAGTTATGCTTCTTTGTGTAAAAAAGGAAGTTAATTGTCCTGGTAACTGGTTCTCTTTAGCACATCTTGTGTTGATTTTTCTATCCATTCTTTTTTCTGATGTAAAAATATGGCAATGAATTTGTTATGCAGACAAACAAATTAGGAATTATTCAGAGGCAGCAGAGTTGCGGTTTCTGAGACAAATAATACAATTACATTATACAGCATTACTAAATGATTACTTTATAAAAGCATGTGAAAGTAGAAAGTTCTTTTGTCCTTAATGTTATAGTCACAAATATTGTAGTAATGGTCATATTCCTAAATGTGAAATTAAAGTTTTCTTGAAATAAGATGAGACTAACAAGAACAATATTTTGGTACATTTATTTTAAAAATCATACAGAGTAAATAACAGAAATAAAAAAGAAAATCAGGTCATACCAGTTGCTGTCTCACTACACTATGAAGGGCAAATGCAATTCTTGTTTTCTTTCACCAAGATAATACAGTCTTTTCTGTTCATCTGTCTCCCATCTTCCCCTCAAGTAAGCTTTTGAGCATTACATTTCTTTACATTCTCAGAACATGTTATTAGATGACTTTACAGTATATGCAAGGATGCTAAGCCCAGAAATGAAAGTATTAGTAACATCAACAAATTACTTTGCAGGAAACACATCTAGGAGACGAGACAGTTAAAGTTGCATGTTTTCAGTGCTTCTACAATCAGCGGCATCTCGGATAGGTCATTATGGTTCACGGCAGCATGATAGTGTCCGAAGTTGACATGTCTGAATGGAACAGTGATGTTCTGCTGGTGCACGCAAGAGGGCTGCCCCCCCCCCCCCCCCAATTTACGATCGTCAATGTTTACGCCTGTAACCGGAAGGTTGACGCGCAGCAGTAGCATTGTTTTTTTTTTGCCCCTGGGGAAAGAAACATCATCTATTGTGGAGACTTTAATATCAGGGGCAGCCAGTGGAGTAATGTTATCACAAATAAACAAGGGAAAGATCTGGAGGAGGCCCAGGTGTCTGCTGAACTGGCATGTTTAAATGACGGACAAGTCACTAGAATAGTCACTAGACAAGGTGACTCTGACAGTGTTATTGACTTGGCTGTAGTGTTGCCCACCATCGCTTCTGTTTGTAGATGAAGTATACTAGTGTACCATGACAGCGACCACCTGCCCTGTGTTGTCTTGGTTGAGAAGAGCTGAAAAAGATAAGTCAGATAAGCAGAATAAATACTTTGAAGCATAAAAACACAGGAAAGGAGAACATCAGCAAAGTTAGACGCTGCAAAGTAAATACCTCCCACAGACAGGAAATAAATGGACTCAGCCATCATTGTGGGATGAAAAGGTTGAAAGGGCATGGTTGGAAAAGTGGCAGGCCGTCAAGGTGTAGCAGAAGGCCGGGAAGAGTAGCACGTTGCACTCTGAGCTTCTGAGTGACCTGAAAGATTTTTTTTTAAAGTATCCAGAAACCATGAGTTGCAAACCCTTTGGCTCGGTACTATGGATATCGCAACCCTTTGGCCTTGATTCCATTATAGGTACCGTTAATCTGGGAGAAATGTGGCTTTTCTGCCTACCCCCGGAAGTGAACCCGGACCACAAGGAGTTCGTCACCAGGCTGCCGCGAAAGTCAGGTTTAACCAACTACGCTAGAGAGCCGGGGACCTGAAAGTTAAAGTCAATAAGACAGTGATGGCTTTCAAGCTGTGAGTAAAGCAGGACAAGAATGAGAAATGGGACGACTACTGTAAGAAGGTGTGCTCTGAAGGGTCTCTTGCCACAATTTGGTGACTTCATTTGGCAATGAATGGCATCATATGATGTCAGGGTGTCCCAGACTTTCAAAGCACAGATCTGACATGGCAGAAATCGGATGCAGATAAAGGAAAGGCTCCCCTTCAGCGCTACTTGGACCAGACCAACCAGAAAGATGAGGCAGCCAGAATTAGTGTTGAGTCAACACTTTCAGAGTTGTATGAAAAAAGCAGAGCTAAGTGACGATTTAAGTATTACAACTGAAACCATACGGACAACACTCAAGAAATCGCCCAACACCTCACCAGGCCCCAACAGCATCCAGTACGCTGATTTGCTGCTGATGTCATAGGACGATATGTCAGAACTGGCAGGAGAGTTTAATGTCAGCATCAGGAGTGGTCAAATCAGAGAGGCGTAGCTACACAGCTACCTACTACGAAATAAAGACTGTTTCCAAGATGAGTGGCTACAGAATCATTACCATGCAGAACACTACGGGCAAGCTTCTGGAGAAAATGGTAGCACTAGAATCGCTTTCTTGGAAAAGCATGACAGGTTACCATCCACACTTGGAGAATACAGATGAAGCAAAGAGACATAGCTCAATGCAGCAGTCTTAGCGTGTGAAGTCTTTAAAGATTTTCAGATGAGAGAAAAGACATGCGCAGCTGCACTAGACTTAGAGGATGTGTACATCTGAGTACCATTTTAATACTTGGTGCACATACTTCTCCAGCTGCAAGTATCTCCCTTTATCACCCGCTGGGTAGCCGCAGCACTGTTTCAGAGACTAGAGATAGGTATGGTTCTTGGTCCTCTGAACTGATAACTATCAGTCAAGGATTGCCCCAAAGTTCTCCACTGTTTCCAGTTCTATTTAACTTGTACACAGTGCTGATAACTGAGCAGCAGTTGCAAGGGAGTGGCAGGACCTTGTCATGTGCAGATGACGTCTTGGTATATTGTCATGGAAGAGATCGTCAAGAGATTGCCAGTTCAGTGCAGAGTAAATTTGAAGGCATCTCCTCCTGGTGTGCAGATTCGAATGCTCATGTCAACCCTTCGAAGGCCTCAGTAACCTGGTTCTCCTTAAACAAGCATATAACGAAGGCAGACTTACCAGCAGTGGAAAGCAGTGAGGAAATTTAGACAAGAACAAATCTGATGACATACCTCGGAGTGAGATTTGATTGCAGTCTGTCCTTCAATAAACATGTTGACCATGTTATAGCAAAAGCACGCAAAGGCCTGTCAGCAATGAGGTTCCTGGCTGCCGCTAACACTGAGCAGAGACTTCTTCTACTACTGTTCCAGGAATTTGTACTTTCTCCCATCAAAAATGCTTTAGCCATCCTCACCGTCAGCCATACTCAGATTGAAAGACTTTTAGAAGGTGCAAAACAAAGCAATGCGCATTATTCTGGGGTGCACTGGAGACACCTCTTGTGTAGCAGTGAGTTACCTTCTTGACTTCCCTACCATGAACTACAGGATCAAGATCTGGAGGGCTTGTGCATACCTCAAGATAAGCTCAGACCTGAAGCACCCTTTGCACCACATGCTCTTTAAGAAAAGGGGCAATAGGCTTAAAAGAGGCAAATCATGGCTGGGTAGGGCAGAGGATGACATCATACGGGTTTGCAGCTTTACAGATATCCATCCAGGTGAGGGATGGATACCAGCCTCTAAAGCCCAATCTCATATTCTCCTGTGTTGTGATGCTCGAAAGGAGTTTTTGGAAGCAGAATCCAGCTGCCGTCAATGCCAAGGTATGTGTGCTTATCAGTGACAAGTCAGATGAGGCAGATATGGTTATACAAGGACATCAGAATGCATGGTCTTTTACAGCTCGCTCTTCAGGCAGAAGAGTTCAAGAAGCCAGCGGTGCCTTCTCCATGACTACCAGCGTTGACACAAGCTTTCATGTGGCTAGAATCACAGGACTATTCCTGCGTGTGTGTGCTGAGTGATTCTTTGAGCATGGTCCGGTGGGTCGAGGGAGGCTGGTTACGCAGACAGTGGTTTGAGTCTTTTCAAAACTCTCCTGTGTGTGCAGTTACCTACATATTCCTCCTAGGGTATGCATGTGTTGTTGGTAATGAAAGAGCTGATAGACTGGCGGTGGTGCATTAATTAAAGATGGCCGGGTCATGGATCACACAGACTTTGTCTTTGAGAAAGATTTAGAGCACAAGTTAGACCTAGAACAAGGTCAAAAGATAACATCAGAGAAACTATACAACTTGATGTGTCTATAGTACCCAGCTTTTTCTCGTAACATTGTGTGTTTCATACTTTTGCCACTAGATTCTACTGAAGATGCCCTGCAGTATAGTATTAAAAGTCTGCACTTTGGGTTTATGTTTCCTCAACCTGACTTTCTCTATCAGTATGGAGCAGGGAAGGTGTTCACTGTCATGAGCAAAAGTGAAACTAATGTCAGGTCAATATGGTGTCTCATGGTGTGGTGAAACAGCCATTGTTGAAGCATACAAGGTTGGTAGATTCAAGTGCATCTTCTTGCTCCTCTCCTTGGGTGTTGGAAGAACAGTTTCCCCATGATTTGCTTTTAGCATTGAAAACTCCACGGACATTGAGAGATAGTTTAATTCAAACACAGCTTTTTCTGGGAATCTACTCATCCATTACATGCCTACATATTGACAGACAAGACACTAATCGCTTGAAGTAGCTAGTCAGTGTCCTATCGAGACATGTCTACCTCTGACACCCTTATGCTGTTGAGTATATTGCCAAAGCCCATCTCCTGTAAGGCCGCAATGTCTAATCTGTACACAAGGTTATCCGAGAATATCTTTACATTGTTTGATGCTTGCATATTTCCAGCATAAAATTTGAAGATTCTCTGGGCCTACATGGCCCTTTCTTTTATGTTTTCCTGACTTTCTCGGTCTTACTTATCAGGTCAGAACTAACACACTGTTCCACCATAACCCACCGCAGACTGTTTAAAATGTTATCGAGATGGTTTCAGCTCGGGTGCCCAAAACTCCTTAGAATTGGCAAAAACTTGAAAAAATTGACTACCTTTGTTACTTTTGTATCACTCTAACCATACACAGTGGATGAATTCAGTACTCTCTATGTATAATTAATCACTTTTGTGATACATGTCTTCTGCTGTCAGTAGCATTTTCACCAGTATTTATTATTATTATCTTGGTTTTTAAAAAGTTGGTGAATTAAGTAGATTTCACAAATATGCGATGAGAGATGCTTTAATGTAAGTGTTTATTATGAAATTAGTGTGAACTTTTTGAGAGGAATGTAATAGAGATTTTTAGTTAGAAGATTATTTGCTATCTATATTTTTTATGTTAACAGCCTGCAAAAGTTATCCAGCCAAAAAGATCCCAAGCAGTAGGCATTCTTCTGTCAAGTTTACGACTTGAATTTTCAGATATTGAAGATGGTAAGTTAAGAAAATATTTCCTTAAAAAAAATTCAGTGAATAGCCTTGACTGCAGGCTTGTTGTAAGCTTGCAGTTAACTATAATATTGTCTGTGTCTGTAGGTAAAAAATCTACTTCTAAGCAAATGAAAATAAATAATAAAGTAAGATGTAACAAATTGAATATAGATGCTATTAGTCTAACATAAGGCACTGGTGCGCAGTTTAGCATTTCCACTAAAGTTGGTTGTGAATCCTTTTGCATTGCAACATAATCTGGAAATGAAGGGCTGACATTTTGGCTAAGGAGGGTGGAAGACTATGCCAGCCTGATATAGACATAAAATGTGATGAGGCCTAGAGGTTTGTTAGAAGTACCTATAGTACCAATAGAATTCTGAACATCCAGGCCACAAAAATGGTGATGCATACCACCAGCTTGACTGAAGAAAACAAGAGTGATCTTTAGACACCACTTGTTCAATAAGCTAACAATATGTGACAATGATAATTATAATGTGGAGATGGTAAAATGACGGCTTAACACATCATGTGTCCAACACATGCAAAAAAGAGAAAATTATTCTAGCTCACACCTGCTCCCTTTGAGGACAAACCCTGTGGAGATATCAACAACCACAAGTTGACTGCTATATAAATATATATATACACTGATGTCAGGGTTTAAGAAAAAGAAAACTGTGACAGATTCCTAGAGCTGATAGTCCATAGAGATGCAGAGTTCCTAAGCCATGACATGGAAAGAAATTGAAGCAGACGCTTCTGTCTGTATACTGCCATGCCACAATTGATGTCGCTAGGCATCTATGTGGGAAATGCCACTTAAAACTATAGTGGACGCGGAAGTCCCCTGCAGTAAAAGTCTGAAGTGTAAAAGAAGCAAAGTACCCATTTTGTGTACATAATTGAAATTCCAAGTCTGCAGACTGCCTACTACTGGCATCTAATGACACAGCCAGTGGTGAATGAGATGTTTAATAAATGGAAGTGAGGTTAAACAGTTATGAGCAGGATGTGACGATTTCATGGGTGAGCCCAGTACCAGAACACCATGTACTGGCTTTGCATCTATGGAAGCCTTATTGGATGGTAGGAATGCACATGTTCTATCACTGCCTTTTCTGACCAAGCTTTACATGGCTTTTTTTTTTCGGACTGGCCTAATGTGGGGCACCACCTGTGACCTAGAAAACAAAGATGACCAAACAGCAGATGACGGTGTTCAATGAAACCAACTGGGAAGGCTAGCCCAGTCAACAAATGCCTGCAGAAGTCAGATGCATTGGTAGAAACGCACAAATATTGCAGACCTATTGTAAACAGGCACAACTTACAACATTACATTTTTGGATGAATGCAGAAGAAGAAGAAGAAGAAGAAGAAGAAGAAGAAGAAGAAGAAGAAGAAGAAGAAGAAGAAGAAGAAGAAGAAGAAGAAGAAGAAGAAGAAGGATTATTTAATATTTTAAATTTAGTTTGTTATGTAATAATATATGTTGTTTTCATTGCAGCAATTTTGAATTTTGATACATCAGTCTTGGATATAGAGAAGTTCAAAGCTATCTATGATATTGTAAGTTGCTTTTTATAATACCTCTTTATGTTATATTAGCCAGTGTTTATTAAATCATTTTTTAAAATTGCTTATTATGGATGCCATTAATTTAAGTTACAATGGTGTCATCCTTTTACTGTAATATGGATATAAACTGCAACAAAGTTACAGATTCTAAATACTTAATGAGACTGGTAAAGTTGTTACAAACTTTGTTCCATCTGGCTTCTGGTATGGCCGTGCTAGTTAACCTGATTATTTCAAGGCCGGAAGATTACATATTGTATCGGCTTTTATCGTTTAAACAAACTATTTACCATTTCAATCACATGCTGGCAACTGTTCCATCGCTGGACTCAGCAGGGACGTTGATGTGTTTGTTAGATACTGTATAACTGTTAATTGTTAGATATTTTTGCGATTCGTAATCCTCATCAGCCTTAACGCCTATAGCAACATAGATTAACTGTATGTGGATTTGGCCTCCCATGATTCTTTTGCACTGGAACACACAAGGATCAGAGAGATCCAGGGCTGTAGATGTCTGATCTCTCGAGCAGTGGAGCACACAAGTTGTTCTTCCTTGAGAGCTTGGTCTAACCTTATGAGTTTACCTACAGGGTGAAAGGGGTACACTTAGGTCCTAAGTCCCTTGATCAAGAAACCCTTTCTGCAGTCTAGACCATTGTGCATGACCAAAGAGGCACAAAACACAATGGATCTAGAGGAGACAACCTCGACTGAAATAAATCCTAAGCCTACTGTGGACCTACATGCCTATTAGTTGAATGACTGTGGATAATACAGTCGCAAAGTGGAACATCTGGTTAGTGGGAGTACCTGCACCAAATGTATGGACTCCTTCAGGAGATTCATTGCCTCTTACCTAGCAGGCAGGCAATACTAGGATGTTCATTAACTTCCCGAATTAAAAGAATATTTTTAATGGATTTTGTACTTAATAATAAAAAGAGTCATTGCCAAGCTATGGAGTGAATGCTCTGTGCTTGATACCATCTTTACGTGGCAATGGAGATGGTGGGAAGAAGAGAAGATGAGGAAATGAAGAGAGAAGAAGGCATAGAAATAGGAAAGTGAGAGCCCAGAGATTCAGGGAAAAATGGAGCGTCTGGGATTAAAGCATATTAGAGTGGGTTAATGGAATTGTCGTATTGCCAGGCAGAGAGGACTTGTACTGGAGAGACTGATTTTTTACTTTGAAATCATCGTCATTCAGGAATGAAACATAGATAGATAAAAGTGTCCTGCACACATTAGTTAAATCCTACCAGACAGGAAAGACAGGGGCAGTGTTTGCTGATGAAGAATGGGATGAAGCAAATGGAAATGCCGGTGTGTTGGGAAACAAGTAGGCAGATAGACTAAGCGGTTCTGCACCACTTGGTGGTGAGTTGATGTATGACAAGCTAGATGTTGTGAGGGCACTTCGGGAGTGAGTGAACAGTGCAGATGACAAATCAACACTTAGGGGAAAGAGGAGACCGATATACAGTCAGACAGTTACTGGTGCAATCAGTATTGGAACTCCTCTCTTGCTGCTGAAGATGAGGATAGAACACTTGTGGTAGTGTCCCAAGTGCTGTGATCTCAATTCTAAATTCAGCATTCACATGCTTTAAATTATTGAAATGTAGATATTATGTGATGTGAGCAAATGTTCTATCTGTTAGTTTTTTAACATACTGTTTTATGCTGTCTGGTAGTTATTTAACTAAAGTAATTTATTTCCCATTGACTGCTGTTATGTTATTTGTTTCATTTTCACATCATTTTCAGTAACAAAACCCCAAAATAAACCTAGGTAAATGTTTGATTAGAAGTAAATATAACTAGTAAAAGGCAAAGTCAGTCCTGTAGTAGATACTGCTGCTGGCACTTGCAGTGTGAGGCCTTCACATATTGTAAGCTGCAACATATGTTGACATTATTATGTGGAGATCCATTAAATACACCTGTTGTTTTCAGCATTTTAATCTCTAGTGAGTACTTAAAGTCTACACACTTTGCTTCCTCAACTGCAGATGGCATACCACCAATAAAAATATTCAGTTCATACTGACATGGACTGCACATAGCAGCAACATGAACACAGTGGCTAGTAATCTACCAGTGTTTTCTTTTGAATTTCCAGTGGAGCATGTCCAGAAGATATAGAACAATAAAAAGGCAGGCAGAAGCAGTACCAGCAAAAGAGGATACCCCAACAGTTATATGGTGTTCATGCTATTGTCGACCGTGCAGTGATGGTATGGAAACAATAAAAGAACTTGTTTTCTCAGAAAAGATAGACAGGAACAACGAGATTAAAAGATTATTGCTGCACTCTCAGAGCAGAAACATTGCTCCAGAACAAAAAAGAAAACTGCCACTGCCGAAAACTATTCAAGCTTTACAATGTGTCTCTTGACCTAGAAATACAATAGTGTCCAAATAACTTTACCATCCACCAGGTCAAGTGAAAGCCAATCTCAACAAAAACAAGAATTAAATAAATTAAAAACTACCATACTTGCTCTTGAAAAAAACTTTCACTGACTTTAATATTCACCTAGCTTTTGCCATACATTTTTAGCAATAATTTTTTATCAGTACTGGGCTCCCGTGTCTATCCTGTCTAAAATGTGAACTAGGTAATATTCTGGGTAAAAAGGCAGCTACAGCTAGGAAGGTATTGACCACAGAATAGAGTCTCTCTTGATGTATAAAATATATGGTTAGCATCATATACCCAGTATGCATCACGTATAAAGAATGGTCCTTTTTTATACTTACAGGGTCCTTTGAGGAAGCAAAAATGCAAAACTAATTGAATTGGATTGCTTTCCCATCTGATTTTCTTTTTTCTCATAGTATCTATGCACTGTTTCTTACTCAGAGAAGTGACACTGAAGAAATAAAGATGATTAAAAACCACATAGACACAAACCCAGAACTTCCATTGGATAAGCCTGAACAGTAAGTATTTAGTGAATGTATGCATTGTGTATGAGAAGATGAAGTTGCACACAACTTGAAGAGTTTCTTTTAAGAAGTAAAAATAAAGCTAATGATACCTAAGGTGAATAATAAATTAGGAAAGTCAGCTTCTTAGGACCCAGTTTCCACTTTACAGTCTCTGTTAATAAATGAAATTATTTGGTTATGTTGTTACATGGCAAATTTCCTATGGCGGGCTTTATACAGTCTAAAACACACTGTCATGTTGACCATGGATATGGTAAACAGTATTGACCTCTCGTCCAGCCTGTTGAATTAAGGAGTGTCTCTTTATTGAGCACATTTAACTCCTGTCTACTTCTCTGTCATTCATGTATACATATGGACTGTAGCCATGACATCATCAGTAAATTCACTTGCCATTAAATACCTATTTTAATTATTTATAATGTCTTCAGCTAACTTTTGTTCATATAAAGTCTGCAAAATCTCTCCCTTATTGGAACTTGGTGTTCCATATACTGGTGCACTTGAAGTCAACAGATCAGCTGTTTTCCTTGTACTTCCTTGCATGACCAAGATGTCCACCTAAAGGTGAAGTGTCTGTGCTTAGTATTTACTTATAAGAACGACATTTATACATCTTGAATGTTATGCAGTACAGATACTATGGTTGCTGTGATGGCTTCAGCACCAGCCACCTCCATCATCAGACATGAGGATACAGACCTCTGGGCTCCATCTGCTTTACAATAACCTTTCCATGTCTAGCTGCAAAATGTTCAACAAGATTGTCCCAAAAGAAGATTTTCCCTAAAACATTCAGTGTACATTGTTTTGTCTTTGCTGCTGGCATTTTCATCTTTCAGTTGTTGAAACTCCAGTTCTGCCAACCCATTATATCACTCTCTGACAAATGTAATCATCAATTTCCACTTCTGCCAATAAGCGTTGTGGGGAGGAACAGTTTGTGATCCATTGCTTGATGAGCAGCAATGGCTCTATGTTGATGTAGAATCTATTTAATGTCATCAGTCCATGTTCTTCTATGGTGACCTCTTGCTTTCATATCAGATCTTTCATGTGTAGTACCTACTTTGGTAGTTCTTCTGGCTGCATTCTAACTAGATGACCAAACCGTTTGATCTTTCATTTCCCTAGCAAATTTGTTGAATGGTGTTGTTCCCACAGTATGTCTGATAATACCAGTTCTGACTATGTCTTCGATGGTAAAGTTGGCAGTTTTTCTCAGGTATCTTATTTCACAAATGTTAATTTTATGTAGATTAGCCTTAGGTAATGTCTAGATGTGAATATGCTGTTTATAATCTGGTTTTTTTGGTACTCATACTTATGTTTGGGTATCTCAGTAATGGTTTTAGATGTATATAAGTGCATTGGCTCATTGGTCTCTTGTTTCTATTTCCCAATCTGTTCTCTGTCCTCTGAGAATATACATTCATTAATTCATTCATTGTCCTGTTGTGTCATTATATGTCACATAGGGCTTGCAGTCTATTCCTCTATTCCATTGTATCCTGTGCAATCAGTTAAATATCACCTTTGGCTTCCCATTAATATTCATCTTAGGGTTTCTTTTGGGCTCCTCGCCTCCTTAATTCCAAATTTATGCCTGTTTAGTGATTTTCTGCTGGTTTCTTCTCAGGATGTGTTCAATTTAGCACCATCTTCTCTGTCTTATAACCGATGATATAAGTGGTTGCCCAGACATTTCTCTTATTTCTTTACTTTTTTTGAATTCATCCCATTTCATTTTCATCATTTTCCTCACAGGTTTGTTTTTGAATGCAATTAACTTCGTTTCATGTCTCTAGTGGTTCTCCAACTTTCACCTGCATGTTAAAAGTGAAAAAAAATACAAAAATTAAACATCCGTAACTTGTTTTTAAAACTATACGACTTCGAGTTTCATATTTTAAGCTTTTAAAAGCTGCCGATGTCTTGCCAATGTATGTCATAATTTCTTTCTTTGTATTTCCTTCACTAAAAAAAGATTACTACCTAAATAAGTAAATTGATCTAATAATTTTATAACTTTTGTCTCAAGTGATACATCAACTTGATCTGTTGTTGGTGTCTTCAATATATTTGTCTTATTTATATTCCAACCCTTGATACTATGTTTTTTAAATCATCTGTTTTTCTTTGCATGTTGTTGTTATTTTTTATTTAGCCAAACAATATCATCAACAAAATCAAGATCTTCCAACTGTGTTTCTTCACCCAGTCAGGCAGTGTTTCCATTACAACATGTTTTCATTATTCAGTCAATGATTATACCAAATAATAGAGGAGATCAAATGCATCCCTGTATAATACCAGTGAATATACTTCCTAAATATTTAAATTTTTTAACTTGCATTAGACATGAACCATTTAACCCTATATGCAGTGGACTAGAAATTCTACTGAGCTGTATTAATTCAGTTTTAGTCTTATTTACTTTTATGTTACATTTTCTGCCTGTTGACATTCTCCTGCTCAGATGGTCTTGCAGTCTACTCTCCTGATTGTAGAACAATCAATAGTTACTTGTTTATTGTGTGTGGATTCAATTCTTCCTCTGGAAACTAAAATTCCCCATTTTCAAATTTTCTGGGTCCTGCTTTGAAACTTGGCTCAATTTAATGAAAGCAACTTTTGTGTTTGCCTGTGTAAACCTTATTCTTGTCTCCTGTGCAAACGTTATTCTTGTCTCTTGTGTAAACCTTATTCTTGTCTCCTGTATAAACCTTATTCTTGTCTCCCGTGTAAACCTTATTCTTGTCTCCTGTGTAAACCTTATTTTTGTCTCTTGTGTAAACCTTATTCATTTATTCTGTTTAAACCTTATTCATGTCTCCTGTGTAAACCTTATTTATGTCTCCTGTGTAAACCTTATTCTTGTCTCCTGTGTAAACCTTATTCTTGTCTCTTGGGTAAACCTTATTCTTGTCTCCTGTGTAAAACTTATTCTTGTTGCCTTGGCCTTGCCATTGCAAATCTAGATTTTGAATGAAGATGACACAAACAGTAGATATGTACAGTTTATTGTCTGACATATTTTGCTGTGTCTTGTCATGTGCTTACTACAATAGCAATTAATTAAGTTGAAGCAAATAAATACAACATCTAAATGATGATGTCTGCTACATCACTTCGCCATTTTATTTCTGCAAAGTTCATAGTATATCTCTAATCCCGTCATGGAGACATCTGTAACTTTAAGTTTCTTTCTTTGCCAGCTGGGATGACAGCAAAGACACATGTACAGTTTCTTTGATATCAGCATTCCCAAACTAAATGCCACAGTTCTATCCATCAATAAAGTTGCACTCCCTCTACCACCATCAGGTTAATGGCACAGGCAGTTTAATATTGCATAAAATGTGTGACATGCAATGAATCTTTCAGGCTCTAGTCTCATTCAGCCTTCTCAAGCACACTGACAGATAGTTCAACATTATGAAGATGAATAAGGGGATTTTGGAAACAGCACACATCTGATCATTACTAAATGTTTATTGGTTCCAATAACTGTTTTCTCCATCAGTGTATGATAGGTATAAATGTCTAGGGAGATACCAATCTGTACTCGATACCATTCAACCAGATTCAAGCACATAATTTATGTTTAGTATTTAACCTCGTTCCTTAATAAGAACATTAATAAACAAGGTGAAAATGACTCATTACAGATGTCTATGCAGATATAGGCATCATCAAGATTTATTATTACTCTGACTCTTTTTTCTATGAAAGGCCACAAATATCTTAAATGCAACTGTTCCAGCAAAGTAATATTTAGCCTTTTTTTCACCTGTAGATGCCAGTGGTTTCTGTGAGCATTTATTATATACCCCACATAAGACAACACCATTTTTACCTGCAATTTACCAAATACATTATATATAATAATAACTTTTTTTCCTTATTCTTCTTTTTCTTCTTCTTCTTCTTTTTCTTCTTATTGTGTCCTGATCTTTTTAAGCTAACCCTGATGGAGAACTTGATATTGCATGTCTATATATGTTGCTCTTACTGAGTTAATATTTTTCTGTGGGATCCCTAAGTGCCTAATCAATTTCCAGAGAGATTCCCTATCATGCCATTAAAGGCTTTTTCATAGTTTACAAATCCAGCATAAAGTGGGGAATTCAATACAGTGCTTTGCTCTGTTATTGTGCAAAGTGTGGCTGTCTGATCATTACAGGATTTGTTTTGGGATGAAACCTGCCTGTTTATAGCTTAGTTGTTTGTCAGTGACATCTTTTAGTCTTTCCAACATAATCCTACTATTTAGCCAGGAACTGATAGTAAGTTAGTCTACAGTTTATCCTCATTGCATGTTGAACCACTAAGTCCATAAGTGCTTGGATCCCCTCCTCAGTAAATCCCACAGCGGGTAACAGCTGACGACACAAGTCCTGTGTTGGTTTATTATTCATCTTTGGCTACCTGCATAGTGTTCTTGTTTGGTGACACCCCGTTTAACTTGTTGTTCTTGCAGTCTGACCATATTTGCAGATTCACAGTTCTCAATTGGTTCATGCAAGCGTCCTAACTCTCTTTAAGCATTCAGTATATCAGCCGGGTCCATGGCTTGTTTGGCTTTCACAGTAGCCTTACCTGCAAGTGTGCTCTTTTCCTTGTACCCCCACATGTGCTGGCACGAAAATGAAACTAATCCTTCTCAGCCATGTATTCTGTAGAGCTCCCAACCACTGCCTTTGGAACCAGCCCTTCTCTGTCTTCCTGAGCATACTCATTGAATCACTGATAAAGCATGCCCCTGTAAAAGTCTATGTCTCTAGCCATGTTACTACTTTAGTCACAGCCCTGACCTTCATAGTCAGACTACTTGTAGTTATGGCAAAAGCTCCAGAATCTTCCTTTCCAACTCTCCCTTGAACCTGAGCCGTGAAAGCCCACAAGCTTATAACATGGCGGATTACAGACCCATCTGTGTAAATGACAGCATCACCCTCTAGAGCATTCTTGAAAATCAAGGCTTGAACTTCTGCTTCCACAGCAGTCAGACTTTGTCTGCATTTTCTCTCTAGTTGGATGCAAACAGAAAAGGATGTACAGCACTCTGAAAGCACTTGCACCCACTCCTCGCCTGGTCTGTATCTTCAAGTGAACATATCTATAAAATAATTTCCTCGGCTTGACACATCCACGATTTTTCCGTTTTTTTACCCTGCTCCTTTTGTCTTCCTAATTTCACTATGTAATAAATGTTGTGTGTCCTGCTTGACTGTGAGGTAGGCACGTGCTTGAGAAATTTGTATTCTGTCTTCCATGGTTGGAAAATCAAGAAGGTATCGCATAGCCCTGCATGCTGTATCTCTTGTACACCAAGTATAATGCGCATAGCCTCGTTCTGTATCCTTTCCGTTAAACTTATGGCTAAGTGTCAAGATCGCCATCGCGTATTCAAAAACAGAAAGGACCAGACCCTGGTAAAGAAGACATAGATGACGCTGCTCATGATTTGCCACAGCCATCCCTCTCAGCACAGCAAGAACCCGCTTGGCTTTCATTATAATCTGATCCTTTTAAGCAAGGCTTCGATCAAACCGTATCCCCAGGTATTTCATTTCATGCGTTCTTTCCACAACCTCAGAACACAGACTAACAAATAGTGTTGGAGTTTTCACAATATGGTTATTGCAAAAGAACCATGTCACTGCTGCCTTCGTTGGATTGACCAGTGCACCAGCTTCACCACACCAAGTGCTTATGCAGTTGAGCTCTTTTTGTAGTTCTTCAGCAACCTTCTCTCTACCCTTGCCCTGATGATACACTTACACATTATCAGCATATGACAGTGTTCTTTCGGTCGGGTCCCGTGATTTGCTCGCCTGAGATAATAGCGATCCTTGTTGCAGGCCGGGATGTATTGTTGTTGGTCTTGAAGAGGGCGGAAGAGATCCAATAAAGCAGGAATGGACTTATATGGAGTTAGAGAAGCTGAAACATTAGAAAATCCAGAGGTACTCTATTGTACACATCCTTGAGATAAATAGCCGCAGCACATGTTTCAATACCTGAGTGGAAGCTTACATACATACACATCATGAGCCAAAACTACAGCATTGGTACTTTTATGTAGACACCAGAACAATTTCAATGATTTATCTCTGCTTACTCTGTGACACAACTATGCCCACTTCTCACTTTTAACCTCAGTAATCAGTTTTTTTTAAATTAAGGAGAAAACTTTTATGTCCATGTCTCTTTGCAGGCGCAAAATTAAAAATCTACCCAATGTATTTCAGGATCCTCACCAGTGCTACAGAGCCTGTGCACTGTGCTGTGCTTCTTCGGACTCAGACTTGAGTTCAAAGAAGAGCGAAACACTAATGGGTTACACCCATGTGTCATGATGTTGATCTTTTTTTCAAAAACCTCAAAACCTCTTGCAGGTGCAAGATATGACCAGGCTGTTGATAATTTAACTATAGTTTTCATACTACTGCAGATCACCTTTGGGGAGGGGGACAGTTTCACAAGATATCCTTCTCTAAAATCTGCTGGCATTTCTGTGGTCTATCTACTTTACTGAATAATTGTTGTAGCGATTCCATTGATGTGTTTATGTTGGCTTTATTAGCTTTTCCTTCCTTTAGAAGATTGATAGCTTTCCTAATTTCAACTTTAAACAGTGCCTTACAGTTGATATCCAGTGCCATTTCTAAAGGCTGGAGATATGGAAGTATCTTTAGTGCTATTCAGAAGTTTTTCAAGGTATTAAGCTTATCTGTCTATTTGATCTTTAAAGTTGGTGAGAACTTTTCTTTGACTATTCTTTATAGATCAGATTGGTCTGCTGGTCATCAGTTGGTCATTAGTTGAGGTTCTAACTTCACTGCATAACTGCTCTATTCTGTGCTAGCTGATATCAGACAAAATGTTCTTTACTGCCCCAGTTGAAAACTAGTCAAAAACATGTCAGTGATGCTAACAAATGCACAAGGGCATTAAACCCCCCCCCCCCCCCCCCCCACCCCCCCCACCCCCCCCCCCACCCCCCCCCCCCCCCCCCCCCCCCCCCCCCCCCCCCCCCCCCCCCCAAAAAAAAAAGGCAGATTACTTACACTTTCATTTTTAAAATTTGCTTTAACAAAACAAAAGCAAATTAATTATGGTTTTTCTGTATCCTGTTCAGGAAATGTTTGGTTTCTTTCATGTCATTATATAAAATGTTCTGTATAAAAATCTAAAGAAAAAAAATTTTAAATAATTAAATTTGTTCTTATTTTTCTGCTTTAGATTTCTGTATGATTTGGAGCAAATACCTTTTGTCAAGGACAGAATATTTTGCTTTATCTTTCAATCTTCATTTCAAGAGAGTATAGCTGCAATAGACTCAAAGCTGAACAATTTAAAAATGACGTGTGAGGTAATTCTCTAATATATTTATATATAAATATGTACTTACACACACACATATATATATGTATAGGGGCTGCGTGGTCTCGAGGCATTGCCTCCATCTGAAGTGCTTGACGTCCCGGGTTCAAGCCCCGGTAAAGGCTGGGATTTGTTCACGTGGACTTCTAGTCATTTTCTTCTGGTCTCTGGGTAGTAAGATCGGATGCCCATGTGTATTGTTGCGCAGGTAAAAAAAAATCCCTTGGCAGTTAGAAATTGAAAAAGAGTAGCCTAATGGTGCTGCCCAGGCAAAATTTGGAGTTAAAAATCTACCTAAAATATTTCAGGATCCTCGCTGGTGTTACGGAGTTTGTGCACGGCACTGATATTCTTCGGACTCACACTTGAGTTAGAAGTAGAACGGAGCACTCAAGGGTTACTACCCTTGTGCCATAATGTTGATTCATCCTAAACACAAACTTATATGTATGTTTGCATGTCTGTGGTGTGTGTGTGTGTGCATCATTGTATGATTACCTTTGTGTATCTTGTACCTTAAACATGAGTCAGTACATTCTAGTTGGATTGAGTATGTTTGTAGTTGATTTTTTACTATGATTAACTTGGATATGATTTATTTTGTTATGAACTGAAATAGAAAATAAAATAAAAATAATGAAACGAGAAAGACTGCAGATACTGAGAAGATAACAGCAGAAATGATACCATCTTTGGCATTTATTATTTCAAAGACATCTGTAGTGACATTTGCCAGACAGAATGCATCTCTCAGGGACATGAAACTTTCCATTGTCATTATCAGCAAAAACAAAAATAACCAAGAGCTATTAATTGTAAATACAATAAAACTCTTAGATTTTTTATCCACATAATTTAAAACTATTTTCTAACTCTTCCTTTGCATGCTTGAGGGAATTCCAAATAAAATAAGGTTGCGGAAGAATATTTTGGTTCCTGGAAAACATGTCACTACCAGAGAGACTTTACTTTGTTTAATGAAAAATATGTCAACGTTTAAAGAATGATTTTGTTTTGTGATGAGCCTGAATTTTAATCTCAACACTCCATCTCCACATGAGAATCTGGATAAGTGTCTTTGAGTTGATACCAGACAAAGAAAACAGCCAAATCTGAATGTAATATAAATAAACAGTAGCTGCTAGAGCAATGAGTATTTGAGTTTGCAGTGATGTTCAAATGATGATGATATATTTTTACGAACAGAAATAATGAATGTAACTTTGGATTCAAGAAAAAAGCAACTTCATACAGCTCTCCATTAAAGGCTCTGCCTATCTTTTCTCAGTCTGCTGAGCTCGCTATACAATGTAAGTTCAAAACTGGACCATCTGCTTAGGATAGGCACTGATTGGTCTACTTAGAATGCATGCTGATTGGTCCTTGCCCCTGACAGGAACTGCGATAAAAGAAACAAGCTCTAATATTTAGTATCTAGATTACACACAGCAAGCATTTTCAAGTAAAATCATATTTCAACTCTCCTCCTTAGATTCACATTCTCTCCAGTCTAGTCTGAGGCTCTTTTGTCTCAAACTGATGTCCTACATAGCCTGCCTTCCCCTGATATCCTGTCATGCTGGCTGAAGTCGTATAAGTCTGTTGTACATTCTCGATCAGACTTCAGAACTGGCTGACATTGTTTTGACAAAGACATGTGATAACAGTTTGTTATGAAAAAATTTATTTATGCATGCTCTCCTGAATATAATATCTAATATTTTCTCCCCTGGGGTTCTATCTCCTGGTTAGATAAACACTTTTCATTGAAAGTTGTACCACCGTCCATTCGCTTTGATGAACCCCCATCTTTCGTCTGTTGACCATCAGAACAATCACCACATGGCTGCACGTGTGGGCATACTATTCCCTGATCAATGCACATTGTTCGGTTGATGTTTAAAACATTATAATTTCATTATAATGAGCATCAAGTCTTATTTTATAAACATGAAAACTACACTGAAAAACATGCAATAAAAACATTCAAGAAAATAGGAATTTGTTAGTTAGTTAGTTAGTTAGTTGGGTTATCATCATTGCACTCCGGACATGTCCATAGGTGCTCAGATCCTCCCCTCAGTATGAACCCCAACATCCGATGGCTAATAGTACCAGTTCTATGTTGATTAACAAGTCTTCTGGCGTGTCTGGTGTGCGTCTCGTTTTTTGCTCTGCCGATCTTAATTCCAAAGTCTGCCATTCTGGCGAGTGATATGGATTCACTGCCACCAAAGTCCTCTATCCTTCCCATTTCTCTGAGGGCATTAATGATATCAGCATGATCCATAGGCCGACCGTCGGTAGTGGTAGCGAATCCAGCCAACCTGTTAGCTCTTTCATTTCCATCAACGCCTGCGTGTCCCAGAACAAAAATAAAGGTGACTCCACGCACAGTGGACTTCTGTAATGATTCAAGCCATTGTCTTCGCACCAAACCTGCCTGAACCCTCCAGATCATACTCATTGAATCACTGAGTATACATACGTGGGTGTATTTTTGTGTTTCGAGCCAGGCAAATGCTTGCGTCACTGCCATCACCTCCATCGTCATGCTGCTGGTTGTCATGGAGAAGGCGCCGTTGGCTTCTTTGACTGTTCTGCCAAATGAGCGTACTGTGAATGCCCATGCGCTTCTTTTTTTTTGGCGTATAACGGATCTGTCTGTGTAGATTAGTGCATCTGCTTCGTCTGAATTTTCACTGATGAGAGCGTTGACCTCTGCATTAACAGCAACAGGATTCGCTTCTCTGCATCACCTGTTGAGTGTGGCAATACAGGAAAATGTACAAATAAACGCATGAGGCAAAGGTATCCATTCTGCACCAGGTATGATGTCGGTTAGGCTGCATATTTGCCTAATAACATCTTCTGCCCGACCTTCCACAATTTTCTGTCACCCTTTTTACTAAAAAGCACTTGATGCAGTGGGTGTTTCTTATCAGCACATATTTTAAGGTATGCCCGAGCCCTCCACATCCTGATCCTTTGGTTCATTGTTGGAAAGTCAAGTAGATACCTCATTGCTCCACAGGATGTGTCTCTTCACAAATCTTCATTTTGCACATTTTCAAGTCGTTTAATCTGGGTAGCAATGACGGTGAGGATGGCCAGAGCGTATTCAATGGGGGAAAGGACCAGACCATAGAATAGAAGTATTAGTAGTCTTTGCTCAATATTGGAAACAGCCATAATCCTCATTGCAGATAGACCTTTGCATGCTTTTGTTATCACATGGTCAACGTGTTCCCTGAATGACAAGCTGCGATCAAACCTCACCCCAAGAAACGTCATAACGTTGGTTCTGATCAATACATTATCACGCATTTATACTTCTGGGAAGTCAGACTTGACAATTTGATTGTTTAAAGAGAACCATGACACCGATGCCTTCGAAAGATTGACATAGGCATTGGAACCATCACACCAGGTGGCAACTCGATTGAGTTCTTTGTGCATTGTGCTGGCGATCTCCTGTCTATCACGCCCTTGTCGATAAATCAAAATATCATCAGCAAATTACAAAGTCCTTCTCTTTCCATTCAACTGCTGCTCAGTGATCATCACCGTATACACGTTGAATAAGACTGGTGATAGCGGTGATCCCTGTGGCAAGCCTAGACATATCGTTTGCGGTTCTGAGGACCAGCTACCACATCTGAGTACTATCTTTCTCTGGAACAGGGCCGCAGCAATCCAGCAGATCAGAATTGGATTTACTTCTAGTTTAAGCAGTAATTGCATTAAATATTCATATGGTACTTTATTGTAGGCATCTTCTAAGTCCACCGCTGCTGCACATGTTTATTCTTTAATCTGAAATCCCTTGTAAACATCGTAGGCGAAAACTGCAGCATTGAACCATGTCTCTTTATTCAACCTGTACCCTCCAAGTGTTGGTGGGAATTTATCAAGTAGTTCCAAGTAGGTGGTCAATCTTTGTGCGACAATTTTCTCCAAAAGTTTGCCAACAGTATTCTGCATCGAGATGATTCTGTAGCCTCAGATCTTTGAGTGGTCTTTATTCGGCTTAGGTAGTGGGAACAAATAACTGTGGAGCCATTCCTCTTGTATCTGGCCACTCTGGATGCTGATATTGAATTTCTTTGCCACGCTTTTCACATCAGCATTTGACATCATCAGCATATCATTGTATCGGATGCCGTCAGGGCCTGGAGCAGTGATTTCTTGAGGCAAGTTTTTAAGGTATCTGCAGTGATTGTAAAATCAGTGCCTAGCACAGTGTTCTCGCACAGCATTGACAGTTTCATCTTAACCCCTATTCTTGCAGATTCGTCTTTCTGGTCAGTTTGCTCCAAGTAGCGCGCAAGAAGGGTTCTTCCTTTATCAGCATCAGTTCTCTGCCATATCAGGTTTGTACCCTGAGAATCAGGGATACCCCTTGGTCGTGTGGTGCCATGCATGCTCCATTGAAGGCACCAGAATGTCACAAGAGATCCCTGGGAGCAAACGCTCTTGCAGAATTCGTTCCATTTCGCTGTCTTGGCTTCCTTCGCACTTAACTTGAAAGCCATTGTCTGCTTGTTGACCTCATCTTTCAGACTGATCAGGCGTTCAGAAAGTGACGGATAAGTTTTTCTTGCCTTTTCCCATGCCTTGCCAGCTTTCCTTTTTTCTAGCCACGCCATGTTGACTACTTCATTCCACCATGGTGGCTGGGCCCATCTCTCCCGCTGTCTGCCATCAGCTCTTGTTTTACTCCGTCTGATTTTGCTAATGGCATCTTGCCCTGTACAGTCATATTTAAAAGCAGGCACGCTGATTACATGACCTTTATTGTTGCTCTTCCCAGCCAGGACGACACAAGGAAAGTGATCACTGTCATGGTATCCCAGTGTGCTCCACCTGCATTCTGATGCAGTGGAGGGAAACACTAGGGCCAGGTCAATTACGCTGTCAGAATCCCCTTGTCGGGTTGCCATTCGGGTAACCTTTCTGTCGTTCAAGCATACTAGATCGGCAGATGGG